ATTTCAATTTCTGCCCGGCCGGGAATCGAACCCGGGACCTCTCGGCATAGTAGTCCGTTCTGAACCACTACACCAAACGGCCGACATTAGATGGCCCCGACCAATGACGGGACGCGTTGATGTGAACTCATCGATACAAATTCATACACGACATCTGATCGCAATCGCCATCGTGCACGCATGCTGCACGCGTTGGTTTGGCCGAACCTTTACTGCAATAAGTAAGTGTGTCATAAGAGCCTCAAGACGGATTAGAATCTAAGTATGCCTATTGCTATTGTGTATCTTACCTATTTAAAAGGAGGTGTTTTTAAAAAGTTCGGTTTTGTTTTATTTCCTCAAATTCGTGTTTGGGCTCAAATTAATGTGTAATAATAGTGGATTATTAACCATTAAGTGTTCGTGAACGTGCATGAGTGTGGGCAAGTGAAGCAGAACAGTGCATCGTGATACTTCTGGTTCTCTCAAGTTGTCCATAGGAGGTCTCAGTAAAGCACGCATCCTTCATTATATCATTACTTGATCTCATTTTGTAACTCGTATCACATAAATACTTGAAAATGGCACAAATCAAGTGGACCTCGAAGTGTATTGCCAACATCATCAAAAAAGAAGAAGAAGAAAATAGCTGTCAATTTTTGGTCGAGCAATATTTGAAACATCTTATAAGTTAGAACCGGACTGACATAAAGACTTTCTTCAAACAAAAACAAAACAAGAAGATTATTTATCAACTAGCTTTCCGCCCGCGGCTTTGCGCGCGTGGACTACCTACATTATCTACATATTTTACGGAACCCTATTTTTTCCAAAATAAAATTTAGCCTATGTTACTCGTGGATAATGTAGCTTTCGAATGGTGAAATAATTTTTAAAAACGATCCAGCAGTTTTTGAGCCTATTCATTACAACCAAACAAAAACAAAGTTTTCCTCTTTATAATATTAGTGTAGATTAACACAAGTGTCTCACAAAACGTGTTCGTATCCCGCTTGATCGATCGTTTTCATTACGGAAAAGTTATCACAAGTTAGCAAACTTTTACCAATACTAACGTTATTCTCAAATAACCACTTCCTAACTGAAGTTAAATTAATTAATATTAATAAACACGCCCCAGGTAAATTGAGTGAAGCGGCAAAAGCGCTCCAGAAGTTTACTTTTGAAGTTAATGGCTTACCCGGGAGGTGAAATCACTCAGAAACTTACACGGAAGTTCGCGAGCCAAGTTACATTAGCTTGCAAACTAGAAGTATGCAGTTTGACATACATTTTGAGGAGGTGAGATTGACAGGAGCGCTTAGAGAACAATATAAGCTACTTTGCAGTTTAACCTTAAGAGTAAAAGTTAAAAGCTAAAAGCAAAGACCCTCTTTCTTCAAAGCTACTTATTTTAAACTGTGTCGCTTCTGATGCATAGGTATAGCTTACTTACATGCAAGATTAAAAAAAATCTATTAACATTAAGATAACATAATTATAAAGTTGTAAAAGCTAGAGCCAAATAAACCATTTTCACTTTCTATTTACAGAAACAGTAGTAACATAAAACTTACTGATTGAATTACAAACCGTAATCTGGATCACTAAAGTTTGGCAATACTCGTAAGCCTGAAATGATTGATTGATTCGCGCAACACCCAACATACCTACTGATTTGGAATAGAACTTAGATCGGCTAATTTTCAATCAATTTATTACGCCTCTGATTATAAAAATGAATATTGCATATACTCGTACTAGGGGAGACTAGGTACGGTTGTAACAACTCGACTGTTGCTGGGTAGGTGAGGATACAAACACTGTACCCTGGTAACCTTTACAACCGTACCAAGTCTCTAAAGCCCGGTCTGTGAGCACGTAGAATTTTGTCCAATGACCCCAAGCTACCCATCCTTATCGCTCGCGCGTAATTATATTGCTGTCGCGACTGTGCGACGGGCGCCCGCAGTGATGTGCGAGCGCGACAGCAACATAATTACTCGTGAGCGATAAGGATGGGTAGCTTGAAGTCAAAATTCTACGTGCTCACAGACCAGACTATAGTATACTTATGTTTGGCAGCACCTTACATAATACAATATTATTAATACCACTGTAAGCTTGAAGTGAACGTTATGAAATTACTCTCCAAAATTATCCGGAACTGTTACCAGTACTAAGCAAGTCAAAGTAATCCCATGTAACCGCAAGTGCGAGACTTAGTTCGGGATTAACTCGAGGCAGCGCTCCGGAGTGGCACGCGTATAATTTGCCCAATTTCACTTGTCACGCGAAGAACTAAGTTCCCAGTTGCTGTGGTATCATAAACCAACTTAGTACCCAGAATTTACGGGGCTTTGAAACGTACTTTAATACATAGTCCGTAATTTAAGTGTTCTTAATTAAACTTTGATAATGTAATCATTCGAGATCGAATCAGAAATGAGGAGATCCGTAAACGAACTAAAGCCGCTGACATAACCCGACGGATTAGCAAGCTGAAGACGTGGCAATGGGCAGGCCACATAGTACGCAGAGTTCTGGCGTCAGTTGACGGCCGATGGGGCAACAAGGTTCTGGAATGTAGGCCACGTACTGGAAAACGCAGCGTGTGACGTCTACCCACGAGGTGGACCGACAACATCATAAAGGTAGTAGGGAAGCGCTGAACGCAGACCGCTACCACTCGATCAACATGGAAAGCATTGGAGAAGGCATTTATGTTCAGCAGTGGACGTCCGATGGCTGAAATAATGATGATGATGATGACTGTAATCGTTGGTCTGAAACAAACTGTCTGTACAGTCGTATACGAATCCTTTTTTTTACGAAATGTGTAATTTAATTAACACACAAACTTTAACGTAATAGAACTCATTCATTTTAGATGCTACTTTCACGCAAGAAAGTAGCATCTAAAACAAAAATATCTCTTAGAAAACTCTGCTCAAATAATTCGATGGGTGCCTGGAATAAAGCCGCAATAGCCATAGCAGCAGTTTTCCGATTAAGCGATTTTCGTAATCTGGGGGTCCCTATACACCTTGTGATTTTTTTTCAGAATTTTATCTTTGAAACTGGCCGATTTACCAAAAGCACTATGGATATTGAATTGTTATTCCCGGAAATTTGTTTACCAGAATAATCGTGGCATGTTCAATGTTAAAAGTTTTATTTCAAACTTCTACAAGTAACGGCCATTGCGGCTTTGTTCNGATTTTGTGGTCCAATTCATTCTCTACCTTTGACTTGAAATCCTTAAAGGTGTCCAGAACATTCATTTTATCTTTGAGAAAGTACAAATGGACCTTTCGGGTAAAGTCATCGATGAAAGTGATAAAGTATTTCATACCTCCATATGATATGTTCTCCATCGGGCCGCACAAATCAGAATGTATTAGTTCCAGTGGTCTTGTTGCTCTGGAACCAACATTTTTGAACGGCAGTCTGGCTTGTTTCCCTTCCAGACAGTGGGTACAGGTGACATTACTTACATTCTGAGTCAGAGTCACACCCTCAGCACAACCAGGCAGCTTCTTCACATCTGTAACATTCAGATGGCCCATACGTAAATGCCATAAGTAAACATTATTACAGTTTGTGTCACTAGATGATAAGTGAGCCATTTCTCCGCTAGTGTCCATGATATACAAGTTATTATTTAATGTTGCAGTACATATGATGTCTCCTTTGATGTTTCTAATAAAACATCCTCTGTTATCAAATGTAACATTAAATCCACCTTTCACTATAGTGCTAACTGAGAGAAGATTAGCAGCTAGTCCAGGAACAAATAAAACATTTTTTACCTGAATTTTATGTTCCTTATTTACTTGAATATCTACACAACCAACTCCCTTGACAGCCAATGGTTCCCTGTTGGCAACTGTAATGTGTTTCACTGACGGCTCGGTGACATTGTACATCCAGTCTTCTCTACTTGTCATGTGCATGGATGCACCGGAGTCAATCAACCATTTATCACTGTTGTCACCAATGGTAGCTGAAAAAGCTGCAACAAAACTAGAAGTTTCTCCTTTACTACTTGTAGTTGATGGTTTCTTTGGCTGCTTACAAAACTTTGCAAAATGTCCTTGTTTGTTGCAATTGAAACATCTCGGTCCTTTTGATTTAGGTGGCTGCTCTTTGCTCTTCGTTTTCTTGGAGTTTGTATAGAATGCAGTAGATGTTGATGTTTTTATTTCCTGAATAAGTTTGGATTTCACCGTGTCAGCACTGATTACTATACCAGAACTCTCCAGCCCCATGATCATGGGCTTATATTCATCAGGCAGTCCAGCCAACATTAGGGTTCCGAGCCACTCATCGTTTACATCAAATCCTATGTTCCGCAGTTTGTGCGCTGTGGTCATTATCTTACTGACATAGGTTTCAACACTGTTACTCGATTCTAAAGTGGTGTTTATCAAGTCTTTAAGCAAACCAACTCTTCTTGTAAGGCCATTGTCATCAAAAGCTCTCTGTAAGCTATCCCACACCTGTTTTGCCGTTGAGCATTCCTGAACATGGACATAATTCTGGGGATCCAGTAGCAAAATTAGCTTGGCCTTCGCCTTGACATCCTTGGCAGCATCAACAGGTTTGTTATCAGGCGGTTCCACACAGCACCACAAATCCTCGTGCTCTAAATATGTTTTCATGCTGAATTTCCAGGTGGCAAAGTTCTCTCGCCCGATCAGCTTTTCGAGACTGAACATATTTGCACTCATCCTGACGCGTTTTTACCAGATAAGCAAGCAAGCAAGCGTTTTTCTGCAAACACGTTGTTGTACATAACCTCAATTCGGACTTCAATTGGAATTTCACCGACTGATTGAAGATTTTCTGATTTCTTCCAGATTTACCACAACTACGCTCTGCTACCATGAAGGAATTGTAGCTTTTGTGGTAAATAATATGATTGGGGGATTCTACCTGAAGAAGGAGGAAGAAGCATACGTAGCATACTATAAAAATGAAGCTACCCTGGAAATGGAAAAAAATCAAGAAGATTACTGATGACTAGGCAGCATGGTCTTTGACCTTAGCCTGTTCCAGAAGGAACGAATGGAACAAAAAAAAAAAGTGGCGCCATCTTGATGAGCGCAAATGCGATAGTCTTCCTACCACTTTCGCGCTCACCAGTCGGCGCCACTGTCTTCGCTACTAGCAAGTGACAGGACCTTACTCTACAGTGGCGCCAACTGGTGAGCGCTAAAACGATAGCCCTCATTATGTTGCCGTCGCGCTCGCATACTCACTGCGGGCGCCCGTCGCACAGTCGCGACAGCAACATAATTACGCGCGAGCGATAAGGACGGGTAGCTTGGGGTCATTGGACAAAATTCTACGTGCTCGGAGACCGGGCTTCAGCGGTGGAGGCGGTATCTAATCTCTCGTCCCCCCGCAGAGGAGGCGATCTCGAAGACGGCGCGCGTGCTGGAGGAGGCGGACATCTCGGAGGAGAAGCGCGACGTCATCCACCGCGAGATCGGCAAGTTCCGCGAGAGCATGAAGGTAACGCCGCGTCCGGCTCCCCTCACCCCGTCCCCTCCGTCCCGTTAATGCGCAGCCGGCCGGGCACACGGACACGTCCACGGCGCACGCCGCCAGCGCGCCAGTCAAGATCTTGCGGGTAGATTCTGAATGATCAGTTTAAAACTTGTTGTTGTGTAATACTTTGATTATGCAGGCTCGCTCCGGATGACGGTCTCACTCGGGGTGCAGATTTGATCGATGATGAGCAGGGCTTGCCTGAAATTTTTATGGAAGGCCTTTGGGTTGTCTGAATTTGTAAACATGCATTCAACAACTCTTTGGCAACAAATTTCTATTGCATAATTTTGCTAATAGTACCTATATCTTTTTTTTCAAATAGGAGGGTAAAGGAGGTCAGTAACTTTTCTGTTAATGAATTTTGAATCTTCTGAAACTAATATTAAACTCAAATTAATGTTAAATAAAAATATTTTTATCGATATTTTAGATAGAAAAAATATTGTGATCGTAAATTCCTTTATGTATTGAAACGGTAGGTAGCAAGATCTATTTGGCAAAAGTGCATAAAGCCCATTACTCGCTAAAGCACACATCAGCAGAGTGGATTCTAACGCGTTCAGTGTCTGCAGAATCTATTTTTTTATGAGAAATCTTTTGCAATGCCTTTAATGGTAAATGACAGTTTTAATAACGAATATCGAGTTGTAAATTCGCGGCAACCTTTCGTCGATGATTTATAAGTCATCGACGTCGCGCCCCCTGCGATGTATGTCTTAGCGTTGTGGGCGCGGCGCGGCGTGCGTTGTGTCGCGGCGGGCTGCGCTGATCTGTTGCGGTGGTAGGTGCCGCGCGGGCGACGGCGCGGCGCGAGAGGCCACGGTGAGTCTGTGCTGTGTCATGTCTCATACCACACACACACACACGCACACACACACACACACACACACACACACACACACACCACGCGCACACCACACAACATGTGCTCCGACGAATACGCAGCTCGGATCGCCCGGCTGCACTCAGATACATCGGATCTTATGTACAAAATTAGTAGCATTTAGAGATTGCAATCCGGATTATTCGAAATTCGAAAATATCTGAAAAATCCGGATTTTGAGGCTAAAAAAAAATCCGGATTTTGACTTTGAAATCCGGTTTTTTCGAATATTTTACCCCAAAAATTTTATCATAAACCAAAATATCTATTGAATGCAACATGGATGCAAAACAAGCGAAGTTTTGATTGAACGCACCCGCACTTCGTCGCACAATAACGCGTTATGCCGCATGCGTAAGTGAATTCGCTAGTCGGCCAGTGAGTTTTATACGAGACGCTGATTCTGAAACACCATATCGCTGAGTTTTAAAGAGCAGCTAAATCGGCAAATATCCCTTGCAAGTGTAAGTCATCATCATCATCATCATAGGTCCCCCAATGCTTTTCATGTTGCCTGGTTGGTAGCGACCTGCGTCCAGCGCCTTCCTGCTACCTTTATGATGTTATCGGTCCACCTTGTGGGTGGACGTCCCACGCTGCGTTTTCCGGTACGCGGGCGGCCTCCACTCCAAATTCAAATTATTTATTGCATGTCAGTTCTGCGTACTATGTGCCCTGCCCATTGCCACTTAAGCTTGTATCCGTCGGGCTAGTATGTCAGCGACTTTAGTTCGTTTACGGATCTCCTCATTTCTGATTCGATCTCGTAAAGAAACACCGAGCATAGCCCTCTCCATAGCACGCTGTGCAATTTGAGCTTCTGTATATTAAGGCCTATAGTGAGAGGCCACGTTTCCGAACCATAAGTCATCACTGGTAACACACATTGGTTGTAGACCTTAGTCTTCAGGCACTGAGGTATTTTGGACTAAAAGATGTTGCGTCGTTTCCCAAACGCTGCCCAGCCGAGTTGGATTCGACGATTGAACTCTTTCTCGAAATTGGACCTACCCAGCTAAATCGTTTGTCCGAGGTTGACATACTTGTCAACAATTTCGAGAATTGAGCTCCCAACCGAAACTGGGTAGGGCGCAACATGGACATTGGACATAAGCTTTGTTTTCTCCATATTCATCGGCAGGCCAAGTGTAAGTAAGTAGAGATCTTCAACCTCGCCCATCTAATTCACCCAGCGGATTCNGTATCAAATTTACCTAGTATAACCCATCTCTACTTGCAACAATCACACACATTTCCCATTATTTGGGGTCGGCTCTCCTCGTTCTGAGACGCCAGGACAGTCTGTCCTGGGTTGTCGAAATATTTGTTTGGGCACGGTGTAAGTCCTAGGCCATCGTGGGCCACCAGGTGGCCAGCTAGTGGGCGTCCGCTACCTTTCCTAGCTTGGCAGGCTTCAGTAACGGTGTCGAATATTGCTCTGTAGAATTATGTACTTAAGTATGTATTATTTTTTACAGTATAGGTATGTATTACCAAAACAACATATGAATCTACCTAAAAATACCAAGTTAGAGGATGGTCTAGCTAGCTAAACAAAGTGCAAAATCGTTATCATCAAGGCCTCCGGTTTTTTTTTTAAATCTAATCTATACTTCTATACTATATTACTATATTTTATATAATATTACAAATGCGAAAGTAACTCTGTCTGTCTTGCTTTCACGCCAAAACCACTAAACCGATTTTGGTTAAATTTGGTATAGAGATAGTTTGAGTCCCGGGAAAGGACATAGGATAGTTTTTCTCCCGGTTTTTGAAACAGGGACACGCGTGTTTAAGTTTTTCTGTGACAGACAAAATTCCACGCGAGCGAAGCCGCGGGCGGAAAGCTAGTAGAGCATAAATATGCGTCGCCAATACAATGTAATTCGTAACTTTACATTAGTCTGTGTCGTGAATGGTGAAGCGCGCGCTTCCTGGAATGGGTGCGACTGCGGCCCGCCGCGGCGCACCTACTCACGTGCTGATCGACAATCTAGGCGTGGACTGAGTATTCCTTCAATTTCAAAATAGTAACACAAAGTACCTCTACTTATCAGTAAGTATATTTATATGATTTTTAAGTTATATTGGATGCTCCATGTGGCCGGACCATTACGGTTGACAACTCAAGATTTGTGTGCAATGTGCAGGAACAATTAATCTGTTTTTATTAGTATGGGTATTTTCTATGCATTACTACAGTACAGATGTCAGATAAAAATAATCAGGTTCAACATGTTTCGTCTACAAGACATGCAAAAATTGCATAAATATGTTTATATGTAATGTATACGTGGGCTGGTATCCGTACTAAGCCGAGTGTTGCTAAGTTTTGGTTTAAGAAAGAAAGAAAGAAGAAATGGTTAGATGTTTTCATGTAAACAAAGCATTATTTTATGTTAAAATGTTAATTTTGACGCTATTATTTATACTATGGAAGTTATAGGATAATGCACCTACCCAGCAGGATATTTTATTATCACGGTTGACATTATTTTTTGTCGTGGGGCCCCCGCCTGAGTCCGCACCTGCCGGGCGCGCCCAGTGGCTCGCGGAGCTCGCCGTGCGCCGCCTGCCTTAGCCAAAAGTCGCGCTAATCTACACTTATAATTACACCACAAAATCGGAGTAAATCACCGCTTGAAGTTACTTTACTCATAATTGGTGCGGCCAAATCAGCGGCCTAATCGAGCTGAGACATTTAGGACGGACTCATAACGTAAGATTATCCACTAACTGTATGAAAAACTTCCTGTTTAGGGATTATTCTATGTGCGGTTTACAAATTAAAGAATATTCATTATGAGATCTGAATCGTTCAGTCTTATGATAATGACGCGTATCTACTCCTCTTAGAGGAGAGTTCGGTATATTGTATTGCCGGGTAAATTGTACCACCCTCATATCACGGTAATAATATCATACAGTATTGTAACTTCATATAAACCGACGAAACGCGAGTTTTCCTTCGAATTTCAAATCAAGGGACGTGGTCGAGATCCAAAAGTTAGGGGTGTCGCGAATGTGCCGAACGGACGTCGACTTGACTGACCGTCTTAAACGATCAAATTTATCAAAAACTAGTCATTAACTCTCAGAAACCTACCTAACTGGACTGTTTGCTTATAGAGAACAACTTTGAGTGTAGAGTCTCCAGGCTTCAGAGAAGTGCGTGTAACCCGCATATATGGTCATTTTCAGTCAGTTTGATTTGAAATGAAAATTATATTGTATAAAACCAGCTTAGGCCCACGACTTCGCCAGCCTGAAATTAGGTCATTCAGTACTCATTATGATTAGTAGATTCAAAATTATTTTAGTATATTTTTTTAAATTAAATCTACTAATCACAAAACAACACGCATTATCCTATTCCATTCACAAAGTATTTTGTTTGTCTAAATAAAACTAGATAGAAATTCTAAGTAGACAGATGTAATTTGAATAGGTATGAGCAGCCCTATCGCAAGTTGTCATACCGTGACGTACCGCGGGGCTATTGACATTTATTTCAAAAATATGGCCGAGTTGGAATACTGTATAGATAGTATTACCGTGCTCATATTTCGTAAAGTATTTAATGAATGTCTGTAATTGCAACACTCAGCGATACACAACTATTTCTATTCATTGAATATTGGCCATATGGTTTTTTCCGTGACAATTAACACGTGTGATTTATTTTGAAAAGTTTTTTTTCATTGTTTTCAAGTAAGTAACTTTTGACAATGCTTGTTTAGTTTGTAATTTTGTTCAATGTAATCACACAGTGTTTCTAATTTATTAATTAGAAGCGTAAATTAGTGCGGATTACAATTATTTGAAACATTTTTCGGTATTTATAAGCTATATTTTTTTACCGATTTTTTAAAAGCACTATCACCTAGCTAGTCGGTTAAATTGTACCACATCAAGTTGTATGGAATTTTACTAAAGGATTTTGAAAATCTTTTAGTAAATCATAGTTTGAAATTTTATTAGCATAGTTATGTTTGACTTAACAATAAATGAAAGCAAAAGACTGGGAAAGTAGATTATTTACAAGTGTGCGTTACGATAATTGGAATGAAAAAACTTGTACTAAAAATCGTGATAACGTGTAAAACAATATCGATGGTCTATCTATGTTATTAACTAGTGTTCCTTTTCGTTACCTAATTTTTTAAGAATGTATCGTATAACATTTTGCCATAGTTTTTTATAGGCTTGAAATTTATTGAAATCCAATTGAGTAACCCTGTGGTACAAATTATCGAACCGGTTGGCTAAATTGGACCGAAGCTCTGCTGAACTCGTATTTTGTTGATTTGTGCTAAATATACAACAATCATGTTTATAAATACCTATGAAATAGTAAGTTGAATAATTTCTGTTTTATTATATGCCATGGACATTAGCAAAAACAAACACATAACTATGTGTAAAATGAGATTGAAAAAAACTGGTCCAAATTACCGGACTCTCCCTTATATTTTCAAGGAACCTTCGGGATACTTTCATTCTTGGACATCTACTCAACCATTTATTATCTTGTTCTTGTTCATAAATAAGGTTGCTTCAATATAGCGTCTAATCAATTTAGTCTCGACACCACTTCAGCTGCCTAGTGAGAGACCTTCGCCCAACCTCGGCCTGAATGTCAGGCATCGGTGGCGCTGGACCGTGGTAGTGGGCGTGGCCGAGGATGCCCCGCCCACCGCTCTTGCACTCACACCGACGCATGCATCGAGCAGCCGAGTTTGTGAGTGTTCGTATAGCGAACCAGAGCCGCATGCAAATCGCTGTGCGATTGCCGATAAGCCACTATTGTGCAGGAGCTGAGGGACCCCGCGAAGGCTATCGCGCCATCGCTTACTTGCACTTTAATAACGAGCGAAATAAAACAAAGACGGCTTAATCTCAGCTACTTGTACCGGCATCCTTCGCCACTGGACGCTGCTTACTTAAGACAATAGACGGTATCTATATTACCCTCGCTCAAGTTTTATTTATTACTTCAAAGAACTAAGAATTCAAGGTTTTATACTGGGTGGAAACGATAAGTGATCTCACTCGATTATTTCTAAACTATATGTATAATATAGTACATGTTACTCGAAAAGATATCTAATGATTCTGAAAGTGCTTCACGAGCTCTATCAATCAGTATTAATAAAAGGTTACAAAATAAATTGCATCTATCCAAAAATTCAATCTTACCAGCTTCCATACGTTCGGTAGCGTGTCAAGCCAAGTTCAAGTAACAAAACTGGTGAGCAGTACCGTGTGTAATAGGGATGATGACTGAGTAATGAAATCGAAATTCTATTTAGTCCTTCAGACAGACAATAAAAAAATTATGGAGACATATTTTTTAAGTTTTTTCATAATCGAATTATTACAGTATTATATTGAGTTGAAATGTCGCGTCATCGCGTGACGTCACTTTTGAGTAAAAATTCTACTCAAGCGTGACGTAACGCGCCATTCCAACTCGATGTAGCACTGTTATTATTTAATTATGAACGAAAATAAAAAATAAGAGTGTAATACTTTCTAATTACCTGTCTGACGGACAAATAATTGAAATTTTGTCATCTAGCCTAATGGAGCCACTTTTGAGCCCCTTATAACTCAAAACATATTTTATTTCATATAAAAGTGTCAAAATTACGAGATACATAATAATATGTGCTCTAAATTTCAAGCGGTTATTTAGGTATTAACATCCAAAAATCGGTATTTTTATCACGTAGTGACCTATAGATCAAAACTCTAACCCAGTTCCAGATAACCTAGAAAGATCAAATTTTTTTAACATAGAAAGGTATTTTTTATCATTTTATTATAATTTTTCACTTAATTGATATTGCTATTGATTTTATTATAAATAAGTACCTACTAATAATTTATGTATAAAAAAAGTAATGATATCCCATCAAAAACATACATACTAAACTTCTACAAGTAAGATTTTCATGTAATTACTTTGTATGTACTTAACGTTGTTGGTACGCCTCAATAAATACTTTAATAAATAAAAACATAAATGTGAAATGAGAGCCAAGTTAAAATTATGATATATGCCTTAGTTATTGACTTCAACGACAAAAGAAGTGAAATCTAAATGGGTCAAGTACAATGGCCAGTCCTGAAATGTATTTATAATAACATAAAATATCATTTCTTCTTATAACTTAGGATAATAATATTGTAGCCTTAGGTCTGACTTGGTTAGTTTATATACAAACAATATTATAGCCTTCGCAAGTTTTAAACCTGTTATACGTGTTGGTTCTTATATTATTATTCCGAAAATTTTGCTTGCTGGTAGAAACTAGCCAATCTAGCCATCGAACATAATAATAGTACCGAACTTGGTTCTCATTTTACATGTTTGTTTTTGATGGGATTAAAAACTATAGGCAAGAGTTATCGTAAAATTGAATACTGATCCTAAAAGTGCTTCACGAGCTCTATCAATACTGTACTTATTAATAACATTACCTGGAACATTGAATTTTTGGAAAGATCCAGTTAATTCAGTAAGCTGTTATTGATACCGTTTGAAGCGCTTTCAGGATCAGCAACATTTTTTTAGATATCTTCAGAAATAGATAGTCGAGTGAGATCACTTATAGTTTCCACCCTGTATATCTATTTATTTTGTTCGGAATACAAACAGCAACCAATACAAATAATGAAAACTTAATTTATATCTACATAGCTATTTACAGATAATCACGTAATGGAAGTATAGATGAAATTAATAGATCATAATTATGTTTTTGAACGGAGAACTACTTACATCTTGTGTCTTTTCACTCTAGGTTTTTTTTCATCTGAATGAAAAAAGAACAATGCTCAGCCTGTGTTGAGCATTTTCCTTTCTAAGGCTGACGCTATCTAATATTATACCACCTACCATTAGTACTTAACTACTTAAAACGCGAGATGCTTTGATTCATGGAAGTAAAGGGGCAATAGATTTTAATATTCTGGTGTCGATCGAAACAGAAATATTTAGTTAAGACAGTTTGTAACAATGGTAGGGTTAATACTGTGTCGTGTAAAAGTGCTTTTTAAAAGCCTACTTGAAAAAGTAAATGAGATTCATGAGTTTTTGACAATTGGTTAGTTAGTTTTGTCGGCCGTTTGGTGTAGTGGTTCGAAACGGACTACTATTCCGGAGGTAGCGGGTTCCATTCCCGCACAGTACAAACATTTGTGTGCATGAACATATTTGTTTGTATTGGACTGGGTGTTTTCTATGTAAGTATAATAAGTATGTATTTACAAAAAAAAAGTATTTAAGTATGTTTATATCCATTGTCTAGTACCTACCCATAGTACAGTCACGGAATGAAAGGGTTCGTCAGTTTTCAAATTGATTCCTTCAACGAATCGCGAGCACTTACCTTTTGAAACTATGTTACAGAATAATCTCGAGTAAGAGAAAATAATCTTTAACTGTTCGTCAGTAAAGTTCAAAATTATTCAGATCAAAGTTGTTTGACGATTTATCTTGTCAAGAAGATTATTATCCCATCAAAAACAATACTTGTCAAAAATCCACGTCTCGCAACTCAGTTGTTCTACGGTAAAAAGTTGTGAGATCCATGTAATACCAAGTCCAGGCCAGGAAATCTTTAACGTTTTACATAAATTATTGACTTGGCCATCGCACTAAATAATTTAATTTACACGTGTTTTCATGCGATGGCCAAGTCAATATATTTATGTAAAACGTTAAAGATTTCCTGGCCTGGACTTGGTATTACATGGATCTCACAACTTTTTACCGTAGAACAACTGAGTTGCGAGACGTGGTTTTTTGGACAAGTATTGTTTTTGATGGGATCTCATTTCTTTTTGTATTTTGTAGACAGCAGTTATGTATCTAGAAAACTGGACCGAAATTGAAAAATTTTACTCGACTTGGCGGTTGCACTACCGTGCCCCCAAATATTTTAGTTTTTCCTTGATTCATACACCAAACACTACTTATATTCCAAATTTGAAGCTTCTAGGTCTGCTAGAAGTGCCTTAGAATTTTGATGATCGGTGAGTCAGTCAGTGAGTCAGTGAGTCAGTGAGTCAGTCAGTGAGTGACAAAATTAAGTAACTTTGACCCGTTATAATTCTTAAACTACTGGTTCAAATTGAATGAAATTTTAAATATACCGTGTCTTTACAATGCCTGCATAGCTAATGAAAATTCAGCCTTCTAGTTTTATCCACAACGAAGTTACAGGCGGTCGAAAATGGCCTGAATTGCTTCGAGAAAAGGATGGTACGGCCGTGCCGCTTTTTTGCTCGACTTGGTGGGGGCACTGCCGTGCCCCCAGATGATTGATAAACTAAAACCTTCTTGTTGGTTCATCAACCTGCCATTATTATTTCTTATAAAATAAAAAAAACGATTGTCAATTGGTCAATGTCATCATTGCATTGCACTGATGGGATAGAAAAATAAACAAAAACCTTATTCGTTAGCAAACGTCATATTTATTTAAATGTCAGCAGCACTGTTTCTTGCACTGTTATGTTGGCAGGTTTGACTCTTACAGTAACTAGTGCAAGCGAAAACCGACACTAAGGTGACGAACCTTTTCATTCCGCGACTGTACAAGCTTTGCTTAGTTTGGGACTAGAAGCGCAGTGTAAAATGTCCAAAGATATTTATTTTAGTTATTTATAAAACATCATTATTTAATAGGTTTTATTGCAAATATTTGTCGCATTTTAAAAACCATATTTAAACGGGTGCCTAACAGAATTTTGATAAGACAACACTTGTACATTAGCGGCACGATGACAATTGACAAGCAGGCGCGATGCGGGCGCGGCGCGCGCTTGGGCGGCGTGCGGGATGCAAATGCACTGATATTGCGACACATACTTATTACTAGTTCGCGCTCATTCATACGGGACATTACTAAGGTACCTATTGCTTAATACAAAACATATTTAGATTCATGCAGACGGAAAGATACTATGTTTTCACGTGTGTGCGACGAAGATGAACGGTGCGAAGAGTACTTCTTACATCCCAAATTCAGCTACTCTACCACCACTTCGTGACAACACAAACTTTTTTTTCCCCTTCATCGGCGCCTACGCCTCGTCGGTTAGTTAGGCTTGTAGAGCTAATTGTGTCTGCGGATTGTTACGTTTCCGAACACGAGCTTTGAATCAATTAAACGACACAAATATATTTCTTACTTGATTAAAGTTAATCTTTTGAAAATCTTGGGAAGCCTAGTCTACTCAAGGGGGTGCGAGTCAAAACAAAAATGCAATCTCTTTTGAATTAACTTTTCACATTTTTTATCTCTGTAATGTTTAAATCTGCGGTCAAATACCTGCCTTGGCTAGCATAAAAAAAAAATCTAGTGGGAGGGTCAATTTTGTTACAATAGTACCACCAACCACAGAATTAAAGATTTTCGCAATCTTTGACATTGAAATTAAAGAAAAAAATGTGCTTAAGCAATTTAAATTTATCACGTTTGCAGAGTAGAAACGTATTATCTATTATGTATGTAACACTTATTGTGTGCTTACTGTTTAAATCGAAGAAACGAAAGCTTTAATGGCCTAAGAGTGATGCTAATGCTGTATACTTTTTCAGACTAATTATTCAGCGTGCTGGAAACTACTTACCTACTGACAAACGAATACCTGGCAGTTTTTACCCCCTCAATTATGAACAATAGATGTTTAAAATTCAAATACGGTGCGGAACACATTCGCGATCCC